AGGGAGAAGCAGGCTTCCCGCGGAGCAAGGAGCCGGATGTGGGGCTGAATCCCAGGACCCTGGGATCATGACCTGAGCTGAAGGCAGACACTTAACGACTGAGCCGCCCAGGTGCCCTGAGACGCCTCAATTTTTTACTCTTAGAGGAATTTTCGGGGCCTGCAAATACTCATAACTGGAAATTATCGCAAACAATTTTGTGCAGTGAGACAACATTTATATGTGTTTTAAAAGCATTAAGCAGCATCACAGCGTTTACAGAAACATACATATGTAGAAAAAGTACAAAAAGTTGCTTAGGAATGATAAACAACTTCAGGATAGGTGTTAGGAGGGAAAACGATGGATGGGATTAGGGGCAGAGCTTTGCCCGTATCTGTGACATATGATTTCGTTAAAAGAAGAGAGGGGAGGGGAAGAGACCAAATCTTATATTTAAATGAATTGTGATATTTTTGTACCCAGACCTGCAATTTTATACCTATTTTAGCATAAAATTAGCTATCTCATATTAGACTAATACGAGAATTATTGACCCAGTTTTCCATAGTGAGCACTCAAAATTTAAGTACCCACAGGGAATTTAAGTTTCCCTTTAATTCTTAAGAATTTTTAGGAACTCGGAACTAATTATACCTCAATAAAGTCGTTTGAAAAAAAAAATACTGGGGACGGTATGTAAACTCAAGATTTTTGAAAAAGCAAATAGCAACTACCGTAAGAGCAGTATGAAGCTTTGTGTGTGTGTGATAACACAAAGATCCAAGGACCAATGCAATGAAGTGGAAGATTTGAAAGAAGATGGCACCATGTGAACATTTTAACATTTGTTAAGCTGGAATAGTGGGAACTTCTGCATCTATTTTATTATTTTCTGTAACTCTGGAATATTTCATAATTTACATTTTTTAATTTTAAGCAAGCAAATAGGCCAGGATAGGTGAAATAAAAATAGCAAATGTTGAAAATTATTAAAGTTGGGTAATAGGTATATTGGGGCTCATTATACTGCTCTTTTCTATTTTTTGTAAGTTTGACATTTCTGTTTAAGTGTGGAATTTCCCATAATAAAAAATTTATTAAAAACTAAAAATTAGGGCGCCTGGGTGGCTCAGTTGGTTAAGCGTCTGCCTTCGGCTCAGGTCATGATCCCATGGTGCTGGGATCGAGCCCCACATTGGGCTCCCTGCTCCGCGGGAAGCCTGCTTCTCCCTCTCCCACTCCCCCTGCTTGTGTTCCTGCTCTCGCTGTGTCTCTCTCTGTCAAATAAATAAAATCTTTAAAAAAAAAAAAAAAGCATCTGTCTTTGGCTCAGGTCATGATCCCAGTGTCCTGGCATAGAGCCTCACATTGGGCTCCCTGCTCAGCGGGGAGTCTGCTTCTCCCTCTCCCTCTGTCTCTCCCCCTGCTTGTGCACACATGCAAGCAGGCACGCACATACACACTCCCTCTCTCCAATAAATAAATAAAATCTTTAAAAAAACTAAAAATTATGGGGCACCTAGCTGGCTCAGTTGGAAGAGCATGTGATTCAAACTCACGATCTCAGGGTCATGGGTTTGAGCCCATGGGTGTAGAGATTTCTAAAAAACATGAACTTAAAAAAAAAACTAAAAATTAAGACTTTCTACATTTTTGGGTGTAATTTGCACATGCACAGAAAGTTTCTGGAAGGTCAAAACAAACTGTCAATAGAGCTAACTCTTCCTTGCTGCCTCAAACAGATACCGTTTTTTCAGTTTTCATTTAGAGTTCTCAGGTTCTCAGAGTCCTGGACCCCAAGCATATTATTTAAGGTCTGTGGACCGGGAGGAAGGTGGCCAGGAGAACAACAGTGAGACAGCTGCTGCCCTGGTCCAGTAGGAACAGAACAGGGCTGGGTTCAGACAGTAGCAGTGGAGGTGGAGTGGAGGGACTGATGGGAGAACTATTTCAGAGGTAGAACTGATAGGACCTAACAAGCTCCCTTGAGAGCAAGAATCATCTTTTTTTGCTTAACTGGGTTTCCCTCACAATTGAGGGGTATATGATTCCAAAGAGATTTCCTGTGATATTCCTTACTCGAGTTTAGAGAGTAAAAATTAACATATTTGAACTCTAGCATAGTCCATTTAATGAATGAACTAACACAATTCCCTTTCTCTCCGTTCACAGAAACTATGAACTTGACTATCTCTTTATACTTCGCTCATCAGTTAAACCAATCAGTACATTTCTTTTTTGTTGTTGTTGACTAGGAAGATTTTTGTCACTGCAACCAAGAGTCCTGACTAAAGATTACATATACACAAACTTTTGCATACAATTTCAGGGATTCATGTATTTCCTCTCTCCCCACAAGCTCTTGTACTCTTAGGCCTTCAGTTTTAGAGTGAGGTCTAGCTAAAGTGAATACCTACTCACAATAGTCCCTGCTTAACAACCCTTTGTGGACTCCCACAGTTTGTTAGATGACTGTCCTGGCCTCCCCAACCTCGGTGATGATCCCTCCAGCACCTAGTGCTCCCAGGGGCACTACACTGACTATATCACATGGTACTTGTCTGTGTGGGGCACTGGATGCACATCCCTGGCAAACAGGTTCTTGCCTGTGGTTGTTGCCGAAGCTTTCAACAGTCAGGAGGTTAACATTGCAGAGGGGAACCTCCTCTGCCTCTCCACCTCCCTGGGGATACCTCATGACTTCATGAAGAAGGAAGACAGATGACACAAAGGACGGCCACTTGCTCCCTGAATCTAAACCACTATGGTCAGATCTCCAAGGAGCCTCACACATTGCTTCATCGAATTGCCTGAACAGGCCTTCCGGACCACTTGAGGACACAGTTAATGCCTTTTGGCCTGTGCAATATTCCTGCTACGGTAAGGTCATTGAGCAAAGGTTTTTAGAGAACATGCAGTTTTTTTGCTATTCCCTACCTAACAAATCCTGGGGTCTAAAAAAATCTGAGATTATCAGGGGACAAGAACATTAAGCAAAATAGCTCATCCAGGCACTGACAGACCTCTGACCTCTGATGTTCCTCGGTCAGGAGTTCTCTCACCAGGAGAGAGGGGCCCTGAATCTGCCCTTGCTGTTAATCTGTGCTTGCTGAGTCCCTGGAGGAAGGAGACAGGTGACTTGTTCAACTTGTTCAACTGTTCAGCAGTGGGTCAAGGCCTGTGGCACAGGTGGGTCTGTTGGGGCACTTTCTACCGTTTGCTACTGTCGGGGGGTGGGGGGGGACTTTCCTCTGCCCTATGGTCCTCACTGGCCTTACAATCAGACTGACATGAGACAGATTATGAGGAGAAACTAAAATTTAACAGGCATGGGGCGCCTGGGTGGCTCAGATGGTTGAGCGTCTGCCTTCGGCTCAGGTCATGATCCCGGGGTCCTGGGATCGAGTCCCGCATCGGGCTCCCTGCTCCTTGGGAGCCTGCTTCTCCCTCTGCCTCTCTCTCTCTGTCTTTCATGAATAAATAAATAAAATCTTTAAAAAAAAAATTTAACAGGCATGTGTAAGGGGAATCCACATAGACAAGAGATTCCAAAGACAATGAGGCAACAGGATGCTTCTGTGAACTAAGAAGGGGTAGGGGCCTGAGGATACAAAGGGAAAAAAACTCATTAGCAAGGTGAAAAGGGATATTTGGGAAAAACAAGGTTGCTCTATTATGCAAATAAATAAGTTCCTGGGGTGAGGGTGTGTGGTCTCTGTTAATACTTTTCTTCCTGTTGCAGGCTCTCCTTTCCAATGTAAATTTTGGGAGTTAAGGGGGAGGCAGAGAGCCTTTACTGCATCTGCTGTGTTTTTATTACTTTTAACTCAATCTTTATGTCAAAGTGGCACATTTTGGGGCAAAGATCTGGCTGAGGCAGTGGGCATGGAGAAGGCATGATAGATGTGAGAGGCTGTAGGGATGAGGGAATGAAGGAGTTGAAATACTGAGGTCCCAAGCTTGGGAGATGAGTGAAAAGACCGGGCTTGCTTTAGGCTATGCCAAATTTAAATTCAAAGGCAAGTAGTCGGATCTAAAAAAACAAAAACAAAAACAAAAACAAAATAAGCTCATAGATAACAGAGGGCAGATTGGTGGTAGGGTTACTGGAGAATGGGTGAAGGGGGTTGAAAGGTATAAACTTCCAGTTATAATCCTGGAAATGTACAGCATGGTGACTGCAGTTAACAACACTGCACTGCATATCTGAAAGTTTGCTAAGAGAGTAGATCTAAAGGTTCTCATCACACACAAAAAAATATGTAACTATAAGGTGATCAAGGTTAACCAGACTTAGGTGAATGCTTCCAAATGTATACAAGTATCAAATCATTAGTTGTACACCTGAAACTAATATAATGTTAATTATACCTTAATTTAAAACAAGTTATTTTTTTAACCCACAATCAAGGTGATCAGAGCTGGCGGGCAAGGAAAGAAGGGAGTAGGGCTAGAGGTGAGGTCAGGTTTGCAGCCCTTGCCCAAAAGAAAACAGCTCTCAGGGGCAGATTTGGAGGTGCCCGCGGAGAAGGCGAACCGTCCGGAGCACAGGACTGCAAGCTCATTACGGTGCAGGTTCTTTGCCTCCCTCGGTGCCCCCTCCCCAGAGAGGGGAGAAAGCAGGGGTGGGGCCGGTGGCTGCAACGGTCTCTTCTCGTCTTCGAAGAGAGCGCCCCTTGGCGGGAGGGCCTGGTTTCAACACACTCGACCGCCAGTCCCGGGAAGACCCCGCAATTCCGGCGCAGACGGGCCGCGCCATTTCCCTCCCTTCTAGCGCCCGGCGCCCCAGACTGCTCATCCGGAAAAGGGGCGCTCTGTTCCCCAAGGTCTGAGCAAGGAAGCCGGGCGTCCAGGACGGCCTTCTCGCCCGAAGGTACTAGGCTGCAGCTAACACGCTGGGCGCTGGGTGGGAGCCCCGAGGATCCCCGGTCCCGAAGCCTAGGCCGGAAGCTGCGCAGCCCGCTTCGCGTCAGCCGGAAGTGCCTGCCGCTCGAAGCGGTTGACTTCCGGTGGGTCTGCAGGGCAGTCGGGAGTCAGCATGGCGGCCCCCTTGGCCGGGAAAAAGATCGTGTTTGTCACGGGGAACGCCAAGAAGCTGGAGGAGGTGCCGAGAGGGGGCGGGGGGCCGATCAGTAGGCGGCTGGGGGTAGCGGGTGGTAGGGCCCGCTGGGAATCGGGCGGAGAGGCGGCCTCCAGGCGGAAGGGGGCTCGGAGAGGCAGACCCGGGCGTGTGGAACGTGTTGGGCCGCGCTGAGTGAAAGGGCCGTGTGTGCGCGGAGTGGAGCGGGCCGGTGGTTGGCTTTAATAGAATTAAGGCGTTGACGGATCCAGGCTTGCGAGCTCGGGAGCTGCGGGAGCCAAAGGAGTGCCGGGTTCTTAGTATCTGTCCCAAACGTCATCTATTAGGCTAGACCCCAAACCGGGACTCTTGACACCCCTCTGGAGCTGATCCAGACCCCGCTGCAGAGCTGGGGGTGGCAGGGGCGAGACAGAGCGTGGGACAGGCAACCAAACTGAGCCGTCCACGCCCCATCACGGTCCAGAAATGTGGTCCTCAGCCTCTTTTTCCTCTTCTGTGAAATGGAGATGATTGGAAGGTCGGTTTTACAATGCAGTAGGGAGGAGGAGTGAAGAAGGCATTAGATCCCCAAAGTTCCTGACTCTGGGAATCTTGTGGCTAGCTGTGAGGATTCTGCGGGTGGATGGATAGCCTTTGGCTGCAAATAATAGAGACACACAGGGAACTCATGTCAACCACTAGGTGACTCTTCTGGGAATACAATGTTAAGATGTCCCACAAGACCTGAGGAGTCTCCCGAGGGCCTATCTTGTCCTCCTAATTCTCTCTGGATGCTCATCCCTTTCCTAGTAAGCGTTTTTCTGCTTACTTCGCCCCTGGTGGAGGGGGCAGTGAGGCTTCTGCCATACAATAGCTGTCATTAACCTTGCTTGGGTGAAGAGTTTGCCCCTGCTCAGTCAGCCATGGCCAAGGAGGTGAGTCATGGTGCAGAATCAGGGTGACATCCACTAGATATGTTGAGGCAGATGAGTGGGACCCAGTCATTAGGGGACAGACCCTTCATTTGTCCACAGCATAGGGAATGATGGCACTTCTGTGACAGTACAGGGTGTTCTACTCAAGAGCCAGAGCCCCGTGCTGATAAAAAGTTTGGTATCCTGAGGCCAGGTCAGTCAAACAGACAAGTAGCACCACCCTGAAAAGGACCCCATGCAGGATAGTGGGTGCCAGCTCCCAAGCCCATCTCTGTGTCTGAGAATGTGGCCTCCTGTGTTTTAAAAAGGGGCTCGAGTGGCCAGAGGAGGCTCACTGAGGAAGATGGGTTAGATGAAGTTGGCTTAGAACAGGGTGTCTTAACTCTTCATCCCATAGCACTCCATTGGCAGGCTGATGAAGCCTGTGGACCGTTTTTCAGGAAAGTATTTTTAAATGTACAAAGTAAAATACATAGGGTTACAAAGGAAACTAATTCTATTAAAGTACAATTCTCAATATAAATATTTGTGATCTAGTTAACATACACTTATTTATTTATTTAAATACTGGGGATTCATTCATTTATTTATTTTTTTAAGATTTTATTTATTTGGGGCACCTGGGTGGCTCAGTCGTTTAGGTGGCTGCCTTCGGCTCAGGTCATGATCCCAGGGTCCTGGGATCAAGCCCCGTGTTGGGCTCCCTGCTCAGCGGAGAGCCTGCTTCTCCCTCTCCCTCCGCCTGCCTCTCTGCCTACTTGTTCTCTCTATCTCTCTGTCAAATAAATAAATAAAATCTAAAAAAAAAAAAAGATTTATTTATTTGACAAAGAGAGACAGCAAGAGAGGGAACACAAGCAGGGGGAGTGGGAGAGGGAGAAGCAGGCTTCCCGTGGAGCAGGGAGCCCAATGTGGGACTTGATCTCAGGACCCTGGGATCATGACCTGAGCCGAAGGCAGACGCTTAACGACTGAGCCACCCAGCCACCCATACATTTTTTTAATGCATTAAAATATTCAATCTAGCCGTGTGTAGTTATCATAATTTTCAAATAGGGTTGTAAATATTTTGAGATATTTGCTACAGCTGTAAATGGGATATGACATCTGTGATTTTAATAGGTTTAAAGGTCACAGGAACTGCTGATGCTATTTTGGTTTTCTATATTTACTCACAATTGAAAGAGATGCTAAATTTCAGCTAAGAGTTAGTGAAAATAAAGGCATTTTTTTCCCCATGCGGGTTTGCAGGCCTCTTGAATTCTGAGTAACCCCTGATGGAGAATTGCCAGAATAGGAGGTTACGTAGAGTTTTAGGGAGCAGGGAGAAGGGAAGGGGGTGCCCTGGGTGGGGGGTTAACATCAACAAAGAGACCTGAAGTAGGAGGGTAGGAGACTGAGGAGATAGGGGAGCTGATCTGCTGGAGTGGGACCCTGAAGTCTGGAGTGAGGCTCATGGGCCTGACTTAACTAAGCTTTAGGGGGCTGTCAGGAGAGTTACCTGAAGAGAAAGGTGGGTGACAGCTTCTGTAGTAACAGGGAATTGTTAACATGGTGACAAATATTCTTTCATTTTGGAACAGGTCATTCAGATTCTGGGAGATAAGTTTCCATGCACTTTGGTGGCACAGAAAATTGACCGTATGTCTCTGTTTTGTTTTATTTCTGAAAGATGGTTTGATTTCTCTGTCTCCCTGTGACCCGACTCTCTTTGTATATCTGTTTCTCTAACAAGTGCCGGAGTACCAGGGAGAGCCTGATGAGATTTCCATACAGAAGTGTCGGGAGGCAGCTCGCCAGGTGCTTGCTCCTCGCGTGTCCCAAACTTGCTCCTCTCATCCTGGGGGCTCCTGGGGGCTGTACCTGCTGGGCTCAGGCAGAGAATAATAGGGTGGGCACAATTGGTCATAACTTCAAGGACCTGCCCAGGCCTAGCTAGATTGGGGTCAGTTAATGTTGGCAGAGGAATACTACCTTTCTTTCTCAGCCTTTACTGCATAGTAACCCCAGACCAACACACACGCGCGTAAGCACACACACACGTACCCATATGCACACACTTGTCTCCGATTATCAGATACATACATTCCATTGCCTGCATTCTCCCCACACACATCTGCCCCCACACTCACACATCTCTGTGGAATTGGGAAAGAACACTTCCTGAAGAGTCGGGCTGTCTGAGTATGAATCCCACCTCTCTGGTTGCTGTGCCTGGAGTAGGCTTTACAACCTTCCAAGTTTTTGGTGTTCCTGTCTCTAGAAGGAAGATAAGAGATTAGCCAGGGGCAGTTTCCTATAGCTGTTAACTGCAGCTGCTGTAGACCCCAACTAGCTTGGGCCTGGCCCCAGCCTGGGTGGCCTGGGAATTCAGGTTAGGGACAGGGCCTACTCCGGTCACAGGTCTCGGGGCTTCGCCTCCTTGTGTTGCAGGTACAGGGGCCTGTACTGGTGGAGGACACCTGTCTGTGCTTCAACGCCCTCGGGGGCCTCCCTGGCCCCTACATGTGAGTCTCCCCGCTCCCCCCCCGCCCCCGCAGGGCCCTGGCCACAAAATCACCTGAACTTCGAAATGATTGGTTACCTGATATTGTGGGTCATTCACTGTCTTGGTGACAATACCAATATTTCACATTGCCCTGAGGAAGGATTAGGGATGGGAGAGGCATGCCTTTCTTTCTTTTGTAAAGTGTGAGAATGTGATTGTGTAAGTGGAGATGGGCCAGCGGAACCCACCTGCTAGAGAGGTACATTCGTGGCAGATCAGTTTCAGGAAAAAGGAAATAAGGAAGTTGAGATCTGAAAATGGATTTCCTTAAAACTATCCAGTGCCCTGGACACCCTCAGATGGCCTTTGTGTATCTCTAGGGTACACATACCCCACTTTGAATGCTCCTTGCTGGGGTTGGAGGGCGTAGGCACAGAGGTGCTTTTGCTGGGTTTTGGATATGTTTATCTCGAACTTCTGGATTGCCGGTATGTTTGCCAAGGCAATAGCACCCATATATGTATGTGGCTCCGTACCCTCACCAGCCCTGAGTATTAGGACTTGAATGTTTTGCCGTGTGGGGAATGTGAAATGTTACCACATTTGAATTGAGTTTGCATTTTCCTTTTTTTTTTTTTTTAAGATTTTATTTATTTGAGAGAGAGGGAGCACAGGCAGTAGGATGGGGGTTGGGCAGAGGGAGAGGGAGAAGCAGACTTTCTGCTGAGCAGGGAGCCCGATGTGGGGCTTGATCCCAGGACCCTGGGATCATGACCTGAGCTGAAGGCAGCCACTAAACCGACTGAGCCACCCAGGCGCCCCTGAATTTACATTTTTCCAGTTACCAATGAGGTTGAGGCCTTCATAGGTTTTATTGATTCTTCTGTGCATTGCCTGTTTACTTCCATCCTTTTTCCTATTGGATTATTCCTCTTCATTTTGAGTTAAGACATTACCATGCCCCCCTGGCTGTCCTGGGGCTCTAATCCTGAGGGTGGGGTGAGGGGGGTACAGCCCAGAGAAGATGGTAGGAAGCTACCTGGTGTCTGACTCACCTTTATTTCTCTTGCAGAAAGTGGTTTCTGGAGAAGTTAAAGCCTGAAGGTATTAATCTCTTTTCCCTCTTAGCTGTTGGGAATTGAGAATCCAGAGGTGGTCTGGGGGAGGGGTCCCAACTAGTACAGTAGTAGAATAGAATAACGAGCTCCATGTCCCCATCACCCAATTTCCAGGGTATTAAGCACAAAACCTATCCGATGACATGTATAAGCTCCCCAAATTGGGTGGCTTTCCAGGGCCTCAGGGGTGGGGAGTAAGGCTGGGAGCTGAGCTGCACAGGAATCACTACACTCCCCCTTTCCCCCCACCGCCCCCCGCAGGTCTCTACCAGCTCCTGGCTGGGTTCGAGGACAAGTCTGCCTGCGCGCTTTGCACGTTCGCTCTCAGCACCGGGGACCCCAGCGAGCCAGTGCGCCTGTTCAGGGGCCGGACCTTGGTGCGTACCCACGCTGCCTCCCCCGCGGGCCGCCAGAGGGCGCTGTGGCTCCAGCCAGTGGCCCAGGGTCTCAGGCAGGAGGGTGGTGGGAAGGGCTCGTTGTCAGTTAGGTCCCAGAGCTTTGCCCAGACATGCCCCTGAGCATCACAACTAGGAGTGCTGTCAATCCTGAAATCTATCTGACCTCTGAGGCCGGTGTTCCAGAGATACACGGTGGCTCCTGGCTGTTGAGACCTGGTCCACCCAGAGCTCTGTACTGTGTCCCCTCCTAAGAAGCAGATGTGGAAGCTGAAGGTGACCGCTCCCGGGGCTACACGGACAGCCCAAATTTCTTCCAGCTCCCGTCCCTGTCCCAGTGTTGAGGTGACGACTTCCCTAGAGCATCTCACATCCTTTCCAACTTCTCATGTTCCTATAGAGTCTAACTTTACCCAGCTCATTTCTTCCCCAGCTAGCCTTCAGCACAGCCCCGTCTGCCTATCAGAGCCTTGGGTTCAGCTGCTTCTCACAGGGTCCACACCACCCTTGGGGCTGGCCTGCCCCCCCCCCCCCCCCCGCCGCAGCACACCCGTTTCCTCCTCATGTCCGGGACGATGCCTTCTGGCCCATCACTCCTGCTCGTAATAAAATCCAGAGTCCTGAGTAGCCCACAGAGCCCCACCCCAGAGTCTCCACTGGGTGCTGTCCATAGACATTTCACGATGCCCTGCCTGGTTAATTTTTTTTTTTAATAGTGGTAAAAAACATAAAAACTACCATCTTTACCATTGTTACGAGTTCAGTACAATGGTATTGACTATATGTGCTCTGCTGTACCACAGACCTCGAACTTTCTCATCTGGCAAAATTGAAACTATACCCATTGGATAAAAACTCCCCCTTCCCCCTCGCCACCCACCCCTGGCAACTGCTCTTCCGCTTTTGTTTCTAAGAGTTTGGCAACTTCAGACCCCTCATCTAGGTGGAATCCCGCGTACGGTGTTTGTCTTTTTGTGGCCGGCTTGTTTCTTAGCATAATGTCCTCCCAGGATCATTTGTGTGGTAGCGTACACAGAATTGTGTGGGAGGTGTGCGGTAGGTGACAGAATCCCTCCTTTTTATTGCAGCTGAATGATATCCATTGTATGTATCTACACGTTTGTTTTGTCTGTTTGTCTGTCCGTGGGCACTTAGATTGCTTCCACATTGGGCTAGTCTGAGTAACGCTGCTACAAACACAGGTGTGCCTCTTGAGATCCTGTGTTCGGTTCCTTTGGATATTTACGCAGAACCATGATGGCTGCATCCTAATTGCTGGGTTACATTTTTAATAAAAAATTAACTCTAGATGTCTGCTACTTTCACAGAAATGTACTCTAAAACATCAGAAGTGTGAACAACCGTAGTCCCTGCCGATGGGCCCTGGTCACTGGGGTGACCCACTATTGGGGTCCCCACTGTTCCCGATTGTCTCCCCAGCTTCAAGCACTTTGTGGCTTGCTAGCCCCTACGTTACCTGACGTGGCTTTGTTTCTCTTTGTTTTTTTTTCTCGCTCAAGCTTTCCAAACCCCAGTCATCTTGTCCTTTCAACAACGCCTGTGCCGAGCCCGTCCCCATCTTGGGTCCCAACACCAGCTGTGTCCTCCACCTGGAACGTTCTTGCCGACCACTTTATGTGGCCAGAGTGGTCTCCTCACTGAGCTCCCCATCTAGGTCACTCCATCCTGTTATTCTTGAGCCCAGCTCCTTGTTTGTTCCTTCTAAGGCACTTTGCATTTTGTAATCGTTCATTTGTTTACTGGTGTAAAGCCTGTTTTGCTCAAGAGGTCCATTTGACGAGGGCAGGGCTAGGCCTGGTAGGGCTCCAGTGCCGAGAACACTACCTGCCCCGATACAGATTGAACCAGAAAACCGTGGTGTGGGCGAGGTTCAGAGTGGCTCAGTAATGGACCTCGGTCATGCAGCTCCCCACCAGCACCAGCGGAATCTGCCTTTGGGCTGAACAACTTGGCAGTTGTGTGGCTAATGCCCATTTTCTACCACTTCTGTTGTATTTTTTATTTTTTAAAAGATTATATTTATTTGAGAGAGATAGTGCACACAAGCAGGGGGAGGAGCAAAGGGAGAGGGAGAAGCAGATCCCGGGGCTCGATCCTGGGACCCTGAGATCATGACCTGAGCTGAAGGCAGACACTTAACGACTGAGCCGCCCAGGCGCCCCTCCCTTGTACTTTTAAAATTATTATTTTTTAACCTTCATGGCAACATGACATCTCACGGTGCTGAATTAAATCGGTTCTCTTTGTAACATTTTCCTGTTGGAATTTGCCTATTGCAGTCCGTATTTACTGAGCTCATTTATGTATCGAACAATGTGCTGAGTAATTTCTGTTTCTTCATTTAATTGTTAGAGCCTCTTTTGTAGTTTGAGAAATGCAGCAGTTTATTTCACTTAACATAATAAAAATGAGTAGCGGTCATAGGGCTTGTGCGCCTAGTTCAGGGCCTCATAACTTCCTATTCAGAGAACGTGTTTTCTGTCAATTTTTCCAAGTTGACTCTCTTCAAGTGAGGTCACAGTTTTTCAGAGCTAGAGAGGGGGAGAGCAGCGCCAGGGGTGTCAGTGGGCTGATTAGGTTTGTGGTTTGTGTGTGTGCGCGCGCGTGCAGGGAGAGGGTGTGTGTGCGTGTGCAGGGAGAGCGCGTGCGTGTGTGCGTGTGGGTGCAGGGAGGGTGTGCGTGTGTGCGCGCGCGCGTGCGTGCAGGGAGAGCAGTCCCACTGCATTTTATTTATGTATTCAGCAAACATTTGCAGGTACTACGGACTTCTTGAAACCATATATTTTGAATACATGGGGCTTAACCAAGTACATAAACTAGCCAGACTCAAACTGGCTACCCTCCTCCTCCTAGGGCATTTCCTCTGTGCCCAGTGATACACCTGTTCCCCCCCCTTTCCCCTGGCAGGGCCAGATCGTGGCACCCCGAGGCTGCCGAGACTTTGGCTGGGATCCCTGCTTTCAGCCTGATGGATATGAGCAGACGTAAGGAGCCCCGTTTTCTTCCGGGGCGGTGGGGTTGGGACAGCCACGGTCCGGGTTGGGTCGGCGCCCTGCCCAAGTGCAGGCGTGCAGATACGCGGGGCCCGGCCGTAGGCTGATGCTGCAGCTGAAGGCGGTTCTGCTGGGGTGGACACGAGGAATCCGCGTGGGCTGATCTCCAGCATGGGAGGCAGCCAGGCAGAGCTGGGAGTTCTGGGCCCTTGGGCTCCAGCTCCCCACAGAGCAGCTGTGTGACTCAGGTGCCTTCCCCTCTGCCCTTGGCTTGTCCCGTCTAAACCTGACAGTTTTGTGGGATGATCTGGCTTCCCCGTGCAGTTTGGGAAAATGTTAATACTTCCGGCCTTTGGGGCGCCTGGGTGGCTCTGTTGGTTAAGCGACTGCCTTCGGCTCAGGTCATGATCCTGGAGTCCCGGGATCGAGTCCTGCATCGGGCTCCCTGCTCAGCGAGGAGCCTGCTTCTCCCTCTAACCCTCCCCCCTCTCATGTACTCTCTCTCTCTTTCTCTCTCATTCTCACTCTCTCAAAATAAATAAATAAATCTTAAAAAAAAAAATACTTCCGGCCTTTGGGGGCACCGCATGAAACCTCCACAGTGCCAAGTGTCCTCATTACTTCCCCCTTGTTTGCACTGGACATGTTGGCCATTACTGGAATCAAGTGTTCCAGGCTTGAGGGGCCTGTAGGGAGGGTGGCCTGAGACCTCGCAGTAGCCAGACAGGGCTGAGGACGACGTGAAGTAGCACCCTCCAGGAACGCCAGAGAGAGAAAGGCTCTGTTTCTCCACTGTTCGCTCCAATACATGGCTATCCAGTATGACTTAGGAACTGAAAGTAGTTTTATTTAGCTGCGGTTGATTTCAACGTACATGGCCACTCGTGGCTAGCGGCCACATACTGGACAGCACAGGTCGGCGGCACGCAGGTGGGCTGTGGTCCTCACCTCACTGGAGGCCTGACACAGAGGAGGGGCTGCCGGCCGGCTGTCCCGCGCCACCCCCCGCAGTACACAAGAGGAGACTGTTGTGTTGCTCCGTCAGGCCCCACTGCTTCCTGTCAACAGATGACAAAGCTGATCAAACATGCAGCTCATCCCCCTGTCCCTGGCTTCCCGTAACGACTTTTGGACACACCAGGGCAAGTCTAACATCCTTCCACATTCGTTAATATGGGTTTCCACCTACAGGGGAATTTAAAACTCTGTTTTTTTTTAAAAACTAACTCTGGCTGCCAGGAGCTGGTGGCCCCACCACCCTTTCCTGGCGACTCCTTGAGCTTTGGGCTCCAGGACGGGTGAGAGAAGCGCACCCCCTGAATCCGGGCCCCTCTGAACTGCTCTTGTCACCCCTCAGGTATGCAGAGATGCCCAAAGCGGAGAAGAACACCATCTCCCATCGCTTCCGGGCCTTGCTTGAGCTGCAGAAGTACTTCGGCGGCCTCGCTCCCCCGGTAGTTGGTGGTGATCGCCCCGACCAGGGAGCTGGGGAAGGCTAGCCTGCCACCTCCACCATCAGACAGGCAGCCCTCCAAGTACTGCCGTCTGGGTCACCGCTTCCTGCGGGGGTGGGGGGCGGGTTGAGACAGCCTCACCAGCCCTGGAGGAGCAGCTGGCTCTGTTGGGAGAAACTTGGGGCCCTTGGGGATTCAGTGGGCCCTCCTACAGCCTCCTGGCCTGGGATCCTGAAAGGACTTGGGATGTTAAACTGGCCGTAGCAGGCCCGAGGGTTCAGGAAGAACCCCACAAATCGCCCTCGACGTTTTTAAAGTGGTAGAAATAAAAATACTGGAAGGCACTTGCCTCCAGAATAAACTGGATGTATCAGCTTTGAAACCTGCCCGGGGCAGCTGTGTTTCCTGAATCTCTTTGGGCAGGAGCAGGAAACCTGGCGGGGGGTGGGGGGGTGGGGGATGGTGGGGCAAGGGTAGCAGCTGAGGGTGTTCGCATGACCTGCTCGCTGGGGTATCTCATCTTTCTTCTCATTCTTCAAGTTTCAGCTTGTGAGCTGACCATTTCCATGCCAGACCCATGCTGCCCGCCCCCCACAGAGGGAGGCCACCACCCAGCTGGCCTCCATGGTGTTTGCTGGGTTGGGGGGTGGGTGGTGTGGAAGTTGAGTGCTTCGGCTGTATTTCAGTATGACATTAGAGCAGCTAAAATGTTGGGGTCGGTTTTTTTTTTTTTTTTTTTTTGAGAGAGTGAGTGAGTGACAGGGAGGGACAGGGAGAGAATCTCAAGCAGGCTCCATGCCCAGTGCAGAGCTGGACGTGGGGTTTGATCCCACGACCCTGAGATCATGACCCGAGCTGAAATCAAGAGTCAGACACTTAACCTACTGAGCCACCCAGGTGCCCCTAAAATGTTGGTTTTTGATGAAAATGCCAAGTTCTGGGGTGCCTGGGTGGCTCACGAGGCTAAGCGTCTGCCTTCAGCTCAGGTCATGATCTCAGGGTCCTGGGATCAAGTCCCACATCGGGCTCCTTGCTTAGCAAGGAGCCTGCTTCTCCCTCTGCCTGCCACTCCTCCTACCTGTTCTCTCTCTCTCTCTCTCTCTGGCAAATAAATAAATACAATCTTAAAAAAAAAAAATGCCAAGTTTGTTTTTGTGGCAGGGAGGGGGCATGGAGTCTCCACCCCAGTTGAGATATGACTTGGTTCAGCCTGGGACTTCCAGGCGCCTCGGGAAGGCTGCTTCAGTTGCCCCAGGTCCTCGCTGTGCCCTAGAAGCCAATCCTGGGGAGGGACTTGAGGGGTCTGGAGAGGGACTTGAGGGGCCTGGGGAGGATCTCTTTCCTTTATGGCAGGTGTTCCTTTGGTAAGGAGGAGGTGCACACCCCAAGGATACTCAAAAAAGCAACAGGGGAGGAGGGAGCGTGATGCTGGGGGGTTGCTCCCAGGCTTATTTCTGGGCTCGGAGGCAGGTTATAGAGAATGTCGCTTCCAGTCACTGTTCCTCAGTTCTGGCAGCATGGCCCATGGCCTGTATTTAACTGTTGTTTCTTCCCCTAAGGTGCATCAGTGTGTGTGGGTGAGGACACAACATCATCCCTTTGCTCCCCATGTGCCTGTGAGGCTCAGCTGGGTTGTTTCCCCAGGAAAGGCTGTCTGGCTGAGGCTCAGACATGGGGTGCTAGGGGCTCATCTGCTCCCCGCCTGGTGATTCTGGATACGGCCCTCCCTGGATGGAATACCCAGGCCACTGGGGAGGGGGCCCCAAAGGATCACATGCCGCCTGCATGGGGTGGGTACATGGAGCTTAGGGCCGGGCAGCCCTCGGTGCTTGCTATCAACTCTTAGAGTGATGTCCCAGGCCCACAAGACACCGTCCCCCTTTGCTACCCATCCCTACCCACACTGAACATGCTTGTCCCCACACGCCCCTGCTGGGGAGCATCACCCTGCTCCTCCCCCCCCCCCCCCCCCCCCCCCGGGGCACCCCCCCCCCCCCCCCCCCCCCCCCCCCCCCCCACCACCGGGGCCCCCCCCCCCCCCCCCCCCCCCGACGCGGCTGGCCGGCCTTGGGAGGCTCAGTGTTGCCAGTTTCACGTGGACGAGGCCAGCCCTCTTGGGGCTGCATTTGTCAAGTGACCTAGGGCATCGAGCATTCCTGCCGCCCGTTACTGTTGGGGCACCCCCCGCCCCCTCACAGGTTTGCCTCTTCTATTGGAGTTGGAGTCCTGGTCTTTTTTGTTGTTGGTTTGCAGGAATTCTTAGCATATCTAGATGGGAGTCCTTTTCAGCTTAGAGGTAGCAGATGTCTTCTCTCATCTGCGCCCTTGGTCTCTGGTGTATTGGGGAAGCCAAAGTCCTGTAAGGTAGGTCATGGGGCCTCTGGCCAACCACCAAGTGACCAAGCCAGGAACACAGCCCCTTCTCCCTTCTGTCAAACCAATCCCCACATCCTGCCCTCAGAGTCTTCCACTTCTGTTCAGCCCCACTATGCGTGCCCTGGTGCGGGGTGCAGCCCCTGCCCCAGCCCCAGCCCCAGCCCACACAGGGCGTTCGTCACCACCGTGGCTCTGCAGCTGCCTCTGGGAGCCCAGGCTCAGGGCTGCCAGGCCCGCTCGTCTCTCCTCCACCAGCCGTGGCTCGGCACTGGCCCCAAGCCCTCTCCTCCGGGCCCTTGCACATGCTCTTCCCAGAACGACACCTCCCCTGCAAGGTTTCCTGGCAACCCAGCAGCACCAGGGCCTCCTGGATCTTCCCCAGCCCCCTGCTGGGCCAACATCCATGGTGTGGGGCTGGAGGTGACAGCCTGTGGCACTCAACAAACCCTGGTCCTTTCCATTCCGCCTCCCCTTTACATCCGACTTGTATTCTCTGGTGGCTCTGAGGCTGGGGCAGGGCAGGACAGCAGAGATGGAAGCGTAGAAACAGGAGTTTTATTCTCTAGTGTGCATACAGCAAGTTCCTTACACAATCAAGGAAATGGTTTCTCTTTCAGACATCTGACTCTTTTATCAAAAGAAAATCCGTCCTGCTTAGTCCTACTCTGGACAGAAGTTGCCCTGAGCAGGGTTACTGACCCAAGCGAAAGGCTAATGGGGACAGGGACGGGCACCTACCCTGGAACACCCGCCCCCCTTCCCATGCCTAGATGCCCTAGGCCTGATGGGACGGCTGGGAGGGGGTGCAGCACAGAGCCACACCCCAAAAGACACCCATACCCCTACCCCCCCGCCCCCCCGGCCCCCATGGCCACAGAGTCAGCCTGGACAGAGCCAGAGGGACGAGTGAAGGGGATACGGCCGGGGCCTGTGCGTCAGGGCCTCAGTCAGTGCTCAGCATCCATGGCGTCCAAATATTTGGCTTCAATGATTCGGGGCAACAGGTTGTAGCTGGGTGGAGGGAGAACAGACCTCAAGGTGAGCACTGGGTCAGAGAGCAAGAGGCAGAGGACCTCCCCCTGCGCCCCCCCCCCACCCCCCCGCCACCGCCCCCAGCCCGCCCGTCCGTACCGGATGGGGATCATGGCAATCATGATGAGGGGGAAGATCATCTTCATGTAGGGCAGGGTGCTCATGCCAAAGGCACACAAGAGCAGGAGCTGCAGGACCTGCAGGCCTGTGAAGTAGTGGATCTTCCTCTGGGGCACCCTCCGGATGTAGTGGGTGGGCGGGTATGAGGTCTGTGGGCGGCAGGGACCCGCTGTGGGCAGGCCTGGAGCCGTGACCCGCCCCACAGCCCCCTCACTCCCAGGGCCGGACACTCACCTGGTCCTTGAGCAGCAGGGCCACGCGCTCGAAGAGCTGGTTGCCATCGATGGAGGTGAGCGCGATGTAGAGGAAGAGGCCGTAGAGCACGGGCTTGGGGATCCACTGCAGCGGGAAGGGTAGCAGCAGGAGGGAAAAGCCCACCAGGATGCTGGCGCCCAGCGTGGTCAGCCGCGTCTCCTTCACATTCACGATCCTGCGCCGTCCCAGGGCACCAGCTCACCTCTGGCCCTGGTCCGTGGGGCCTGGTCCCCCCTCAGCTCACATGGGGCTCCCTCCCTTCCTGGGTCCTATGTGGCCCAGGGCCACCCCCACCTCAGGGGCCCACATGACTTGCCTCAGGTCTCAAGGGACCCGGCCCGCACTCACGTCTCATAAATGTGCCCGTTCTCCACACGCTCCTCCACCAAAGCCAGGGCCCGCACGTGCAGTGGGGAGTGGGGGTAGGCGGCGTGGATCCAGGGCAGCCCGAACAGAGACAGCCCGCTGTTGATGAGGGCGATGAGCAGGAGGTCCCAGTGGTAGGCAGTGCCCTTCACCAGCCTGCAGCAGACAGGGGCACATGTGGCCAGAGCCCCGTGGCCCCTTGGAGGATCGGGCACACGCTCAGCCCTCCCCCTCCCAGCCCTGCGAACCTGTTCTCTGGGGCATTCGCCAAGGCAGCCACCAAGTTCTGCTCGATGAAGAAGAGCAAGGAGAGCAGGAAGCCCAGGCCCATGGCGCTGGCGATGGCCCCCAGGGACAGGGAGTGCATCTCGGCCATCTCAAAGAGGCTCTTGCTGGGGTTGTAGCGGAACTGGCTCACTGCAGCAGGTACAGGCCCCTGCTCAAGCCTGTGGCCCTCGAGGGGCGACCCCACCCCACCGCACCCCCTGCCGGACCCCGACTCACTCTTGATTTCCTGGAAGCCGTAGGAGGAGATGAGGGAGAAGGTGAGCACTGAGATGGGCAAGGCGCAGTCTGACAGGATCTCCCGCATGCAGGGGTGCAGGTAGGGGCTAGGGACACAGGTGGGTGTATCAGTGTGGCCTGGGGGCTTGTGCCTCCTTCCCCTCGCCCGCAGGCCCCCCCTCACCTCTTCTTGAACTGGTAGAGGGTGTAGCTCAGCCACAGCGTGCCCAGCATGATGAGGAGGCTGAGCACGGCGGTCTCCCGGCCCGGGTGTTCGGCGTGGTGGCTCATGGAGGTCAGCTGCGATGGGCGGGTCAGGAGGCTGGTGTTGAGGGCAGTGTGGAGGCTGTTGTTGAGGCTGGTGCCGAGGCCCAGCAGGCTCACCAGGGAAGTGCTGTCTGTATAATAGTTCCCGAAGTCATGGTCATAGTAGTACTTCTGGAAGACTGTGGAAACAGGCCAGCAGGCCTCAGCCATCTGAGCTCAGGGAGGCTGAGGCCCAGCTCCCTCCTGGATGCGGGGGAGAGGGGGCCCCCGAGGGGAGAAAGGGCTTCTGGGGGGGACAGGGAAGGGAGGGGACTGCCTTTGTCAGCCAGGAGGGCCCCACTGACCTGCTTGTCCACCCACCGCCTCCCACCCCACCCCACCACCCCGATCTCTGACAGTGCCCCACACCTGGCCCCGTGCCTCTGATCCTGCCTGAGTCAGCCCTGTCACCCTCCAGCACATGGCA